AAAACTGAATACACATTCTTCTCATCAGCCTGTGGAACATCCTCCAAAATTGATCACATTTTAGGTCACAAGTCTAACCTTAGCAAATTTAAAAGTATAGAAATTATTCCTTGTATTTTCTTAGATCATCATGCAATAAAAGTTGAACTCAACCAATAACAGGTATCTGCATACTCATACAAAGACATGGAAACTAAATAACCTTATGCTAATGATAGCTGGGTCACAGATGAGATTAAGAAGGAAATTGCCAAATTTTTGTAACAAAATAATAATGAAGACACAAATCATCAGAACCTGTAGAATACTGTAAAGGCAGTCATAAGAGGGAAACTTATAGTGTTGCAAGCCTTCCTCAAGAGAACAGAAAGAGAGGAAGTCAATAACCTTTGGGACATCTTAAGCAACTGGAAAAGGAAGAACATTTCAACCCCAAACCCAGCAAAGAAAAGAAATAACTAAATTTAGAGCAGAATTAAATGAAATCAAAGACAAAAGAATTATTCAAAAGATCAATGAATCCAAAAGTTGTTTTTTTTTTAAAAATTCAACAAAATTAATAAACCTTTGGCCAAACTAACCAAAAATAGTATCAGCAATCAGAAATGACATAGGCAAAATAACAACAGACACCCCAGAAATTCAAAAGAACCTTAATGAATTCTACAAAAAACATTCTCAGAAATATGAAAATCTGAAAGGAATTGACCAATACATGGAAGCATGCCAACTTCTGAGACTTAATCAGAACGAATTGGAAATGCTGAATAGACCTATCTCAAGTACTGAAATAGAATCAACTATACGAAATCTCCCAAAAAAGAAGAGTCCAGGATTAGACAGCTTCACATCAGAATTCTACAAAACCTTCAAAGAGGAACTAGTACCTATATTACTTAACCTTTTCCAAAACATTGAAAAAGAAGGGATACTTCCCAACACATTCTATGAAGTAAGTATCACCCTGATCCCCAAACCAGGAAAAGACCCAACAAGAAAAGAAAACTATAAAACAATATCTTTAATGAACATAGATGCAAAAATAATCAATAAGATCCTAGCAAAAAGAATCTAGCAACACATCAAATGAATTTTACCATGACCAAGTGCGTTTTATCCCAGGGTCTCAAGATTGGTTCAATATATGTAAATCTATAAATATAATACATCACATAAACAAACTAAAAAACAAAGACCATATGATTCTCTCAATAGATGCAGAGAAAGCTTTTTATAATATCCAACATGCTTTCATGATCAGAACACTTGAGAAAATAAATATAAAAGGGACTTTTCTTAAACTGATAGAGGCCATCTACAGCAAACCTACAACCAGTATCATATTGAATGGAGTAAAGTTGAAAACATTTCCACTCAGATCAGGAACCAGGCAATTGCCCATTGTCTCCACTGCTTTTTAACATTGTAATGAAAGTCTTACCTATAGCAATCAGGCAAGAGAAGGTGATCAAGTATATACAAATAGGGTCAGAGGAAATCAAATTTTACTCATCACAGATGATATGACTTTATACCTGGAAAACCCCAAGGACTCAACCACAAAACTAGAAGTGATCAAGACATACAGTAGCATCTCAGAATACAAAATCAATACTCACAAATCAGTAGTTTTTATATGTAGTAAAAAAAACTACCAAATAGTAGTTTTTATATATATACCAATAATAGTCAAGCTGAAAAGACAGTGAAGGACTCTATTCCCTTTACAGTTGTGACAAAGAAGATGAAATATTTTGGAATTTACCTAACAAAGGATGTGAAAGATCTCTATGAAGAGAATTATGAAACTCTGAGAAAAGAAATAGCTGAAGATGTTAAGAAATGGAAAAATATACCATGCTCATGGCTAGGAAGAAATAGCATTGTTAAAATGTCCATATTATCCAAAGAAATTTAAAAATTTAATGCAATCCCTATCAAAGCACCACCATACAATGGTGCTATGAAGCAGCACCATCATACTTTAAAGATCCGGAAAAAATAGTACTTCATTTTATATGGAACCAGAAAAAAGCTTGAATAGCCAAGACATTACTCAGAAATAAAAACAAATCAGGAATAGTCATGCTTTTTGACTTCAAACTATACTATAAATCTACAGTGATCAAAAAAGCATGGTATTGGCACAAAAATAGAGAGGTAGATGTATGAAACAGTATTGAGAACCAAGAGATGAACCCAGATACTTATTGTCATTGGATCTTTGATAAGCCCATCAAAAAAATAAATTGGGGAAAGAGTCCCTGTTTAACAAATAGCGCTGGGAGATTTGGCTGGTGACTTGTAAAGGACTGAAACTGGACCCACACCTTTCATGCTTAACAAAGATAGACTCTCACTGGATAAAAGATTTAAACCTAAGACATGAAACTATAAAGATTTTTGGAGAGAGTGCAGGAGAAACACTTGAAGAAATTGGCCTAGGAGCATACTTTATGAGGAAGATCCCCCCCAGACAATTGAAGCAACACCAAAAATACTTTACTGGGATCTGAACAAACTAAAAAGCTTCTGCACAGCCAAGAACACAGTAAGTAAAGCAAGCACACAGCCCTCAGAATGGGAGAGTATATTTGCAGGTTATGCTTCTGACAAAGGTTTGATATACTTCTGCACTGCTGGTAGGAGTGCAAGCTAATACATCTTTTGGAAAGAAGTATGGAGAATACACAGGGATCTAAAGGTAGAACTGCTGTTTGATCCTGCAATTCCTCTACTAGGTGTATATCCAAAAAACCAAAAATCACTTTATAACAAAGATATTTGCACCAGATTGTTCATTGCAGCTCAATTCATAATAGTCAAGTCATGGAAGAAGCCCAAGTGCCCATCAACCCATGAATGGATTAATAAATTGTG